CATTAGGACTAGCCAAAGTACCCAAGTGGATATCCAAGTTAAGAGTTTTTCAGTTGAAACTGGCCCAGACAGGGATCAATGGTCAACTTCCAAAGTGGCTTGCATATTCATCAGTGACAACCCTTGATTTGTCAAGCAATGCATTGACGGGGAAATTGCCATGGTGGATTGGAAACATGACTCGCCTTTCCTTCCTGAACCTGTCAAACAACCAGTTCCACTCGTCAATCCCAGTGGCATTCATGGGCCTTTCTTCTCTTATGGACCTTGACCTCCATTCCAATAAGCTCACAGGATCCCTGAGAGCGGTGTTTGAGAAAGAGGTTCAATTTTCGCTAGGCCATTTCAACTCCGTCGACCTATCTAACAACAAGTTTTGCGGTCCCATTGACGACAACATTGGACAAAAGGCCTCAATGAGTTCAATCAAATCTCTTGCATTGTCACACAACCCGTTGGGAGGATCTATTCCAAAGTCAATTGGGAAACTGAGAGAATTGGAGATTCTGGACCTTGAAGACAGTGGACTCTCAGGGAATATACCTGAAGAGCTTGGTGATGCCGAAACGTTAACAAAGATTAATATTTCAAAGAACAAATTAAGTGGCAACATACCAGAGAAGGTCCTAAATTTGAAGAAACTTGAAGAGTTCGATGTGTCAAGAAACAGACTCAGAGGGAGGATCCCTCCACATAAGGCCATGTTTCCTATTTCAGCTTTTGTGGGTAATCGTGGATTGTGTGGACCACCTCTTCCTCCTTGTAAACTTCGTTATAGATAAGCACGCTATCGGACAGATTATTTTAAGCATATAATTAGAGATTTTGATTCCCATGTTCATGTGTACGAGGAAATAAATAGTAAATTTATTATGTTAATCTAGCTGAGAATTAGATCGACGAGAGGTACAATACAATTAGGAGAGCTGCAACTTAATCCATAGCTCACCGGAAGCTCTAGCTCATTCCTAAAAAAATCTCATTTTAGAAGGTCTTTAATTCGAGGATAAAAAAATTCTTTAATTCCCAAGAGTTCTTAATCAAGTGGAGTGGATTAGAATTAGGGTAAAGTGATTTTTGGATAATAACAATATTTTCGGTTTGGATAATCATATATCGATTCAGATTGTTTTACGCTGAAAACTAAGATATAAGTTACAATAGTTCGAAGGTTAAGATAGATCGTTTCAGACTAAAGGTCAAAAATGGTCAACTTAGGTTAAAAGTTAAGATCGGTTAACTAGGATCAAAGGTCCAAATCAGTTAGTCTGGGGTGAAGGACGAGATTGGCCAACTAAAGACAACAATTGAGAGAGTTGACCCAAATTGAATGTTGAGACAGACCGATTCAAGCCCAAGGTTGAGACGAGCCATTACGGTCGAAGGCAATACAAGTCTACTCTGAACGAAAGTAGAGACAGGCTGGCCAGGGTCAATGATCAAAGAAAAGTTAGTCCAAAACAAAGATCTAGTGTCGAGTCAACCCTTGCCTAATTGGTAAAGTAAGCCTTGACCAAAATTCAACTGAATTTGGTCGAGTCGGCCCGACCAAATTTGGAGGAGTTGACCCCAATAGAATTTTGAACGAATATGGTTGAGTCAATCTTAGTTGAATTTTCGCAAAGTTGATCTTATCATAATGTTGACTAAGTTGATCTCGATCGAAATTTGGTTAAATTTAGCTAAGTCGACCTTGATCGAGTTTCAACTAAGTCATGTTCGGTCAAATTTCGGCCAATGCAGCCTTATTAAATTCATGCCGAGTCAACCTCAACCAAATTTCAACCTAGCTTGCCATGGCCAAATTCGGTCGAGTTCACCGTAGTCAAATTTTGGTCAAGTTAACCCGACCGAATTTCAACCAAATTGGACTTGGTCAAATTTTGGTCAAATTCTACCAAGTCTGTCCCAACTACAATTTGGCAGAATTCGTCATAGTCCACCCCGACCGAAAATTGTCACAACATTTTATTTATGACTTCTAGTTTCTCTCTCACTCCATCCAAATAACACAACTTCCTTATGAGATAGTTCATTAGTTGTTGTAACTTGTTGTGATGGTACAAATTGTTGCTATTGAGAACCAAATGAAATTTATGATTGTTGAGATCATACACACAGTATGATTATTGTTCATATTCCAAAAAAGATTATCTAGGATATATAGAAATCTAGTTTATGTATAATTAACTTATTTATATTAGGTGTAGAAGTAGGTGTGACAATATGTTATTGAACCATATAATGGTTGTTATGAATAATAACTATACTATTCATTTGAAAATCACACTGTTAATAATTTTCATAATATATAACTAATAAAATAATAACACTAATGTTTCGATATGGATGTTTTCCGTTGTCTTTGTTTCTTTTAAATGTCTGGGACGCTCAGCTTCTCCTCAATTGTTGTCTATCACACTCTGAGTTATGGAACCTCAGCTCTCAAGAAAGTGATTATATTATCACTGTAGAATATTATCTAGACTCCATCTCGCGTAAGTGGAACGTAGTTGGCGTTTGACTCTGTCATTATATTTATAAGTGTAAAATAAAAACAATCTGAAAATCTGGTTAGTTACTCATAATATCTTAACCGCTTAAAATATCTAAGATATTTTATCCAATAAATATCTTACTATACATAATTACTATACAACTAATATATTTAATTTTTTATTATATATATATATATATATGTATAGGGGTTTGCTAACGCGCGTACGCCTGTTTTTCAGTTGGTACATTTTAGCAATGTGTACCGGGTTTTAGTAGACAAAAATATCCTTATATATCATGGATTCTAAGTTTTAAGGTTAAGGGTATTTTAAAGAAACCCCCCAAACCCTTACTCACCTCTCTCATTCCTCTCAATCCTTTCTCTTTCCTCTTTCTCACTCCAATCTTTTCTCTGTCATTCCTACTGTAGCCTCAATTGAAAAAATCAGAAACACTTGCTGTTAAACAATCTTACAAAAAAATGATTTTATAATGAGTTTTCATCTTATAATTTTTGTCTTATCTAATTTTATCCAATTTTCACAAGCATAAAGGAATTGGTAATTGACCTGGAAAAAATTTAGAAACACTCGCTGTTAGACAATTTCTTACAAAAAATGATTTTATAATGAGTTTTTATTTTATTATTTTTGTCTTATCTAATTTTATCTAATTTTCACAAGCATAATGACATCAAAGGAATTGGTAATTGGCCTGGAAAAAAATCAGAAACACTCAGTTGTTAAACAATTTCTTACAAAAAAATGACTTTATAATGAGTTTTCATTTTATAATTTTTGTCGTATATAATTTTATCTAATTTTCACAAGCATAATGACATCAGAAAGAATTGGTAATTGGCCTGGAGGGTTTTTTTAGAGATGATGATTCAACAAATACAGATGATGAAATTAGAGAGGTTAGTGAAGATGGTGAAATTGAAGAGATCTTGAATGAAC